TAGGTTTTATAGCCTTCGTGTAGAGCCAGTGTCCTCTCATGTACTCGCCTCGAGTAGCCAGTAAAACCAGAGGAACTGCTCGGTGTCTCGCTTGCTGCGCCATTCCCTTCTACGGACCAGATACGTGCACTTATTCTGCTCTTCAGTTCAGTTCCCCACAAGGCGAACCCTGTGGAGTTCCTCATCACCCTTCTAAGCAACTTTCTAAGGTATAGTTCGGGGAACACGCCTAGAAAAGGTATAACTATGGTTAAGATGCGTATACCTTGAGAGTCTTCATATTACACAAAGAGACAATGTTATTGAGAAACACACCCCAAGGCAGCAATTCACGTGTCTTGTGTGTCAACATACCCCACAGAAGAGAAGTGTGGGGTGAGCAGTAGCTCATTGGCATTTAAAGAGACATACACCAAAATGGCTCTCCATGAACAGAGCTGTTTTTGTCTATGGAAAAAGATAATTGTTTTACACAACAATTGAGACATTTTATCCGAAGTATGTTACAGACATTTCATGAAGACCCTAAAGAATCATACCAACTTGTGGAAGATCCGATGTCGCTTTTAAAAGTTAAAAGCTTAAACATAAGATGATCTGAAATCTATTGCAATTCATTTTTAATTTTATTTTACACTATAATTGAGATTACTTTCAAATATAACATTAGATAATGGAAACATTTGTCACACTGAAATATGAATCCCTCAAATAATTTTTCACCATGATTGTTTATTTATGCAATTTTGGTCGTGTGCGGGTCATAGATATTTTAAAGCTTATTACTGACAAAAGTTGGATTCATTCATGCTACTGTTGTCACCTGCCAAGCATAATGACATTAAAATGTTAACTGCTCTTCTATTGCTGAAAATACCTCATCTACATAAAGCTTTAAAACATATACTCACAGTTCCTGCGGATCCTGAGTCTTCAGCAACAGCACCAGCACAGATTTGTGTGTGGGTGTGTTGGGGAGGGAGGTGCTACACCTCACCTTTAATAAGTTTGAGTGACAGGCAACAGGTTGATCTGGATGAACTTGTTGATAGAACAATCTATTTACTGCATAAATACGGTGGCCGAGAGACCTCAACATGCTGCAAATAGAAAAAACACCTGCAAATTAAGGAAAACAACTTCATCAACTTGACAACACACGCGCTACAAATGCTCACAACACAACCAAATAAAGAAATGCACTGCAAATAAAAATCTTTATTTGGTTGTGTTGTGAGCATTTGCAGCACCTGCTGTCAAACTGATGAAGATGTTTGCTTGATTTGCTGGTGTTTTTTCTAGTTGCATGTGTTTTCTGAAGTTGCAGCGCGTTGAGCTCTCTCGGCCACCGTAGAGAAAGGCTTCATGCACATTAGCTTACCAAAGAGTAATACTATTCATGACAACATTAACATTTTAAGTGAACATCGTTACAGTAATACACTCAAAATGATCAAGATTGTGGATGAAAAAGATTTACATATTGCAAAATCATTACTTGTGATTACTTATTTTGATATATTGACATCCACGTTATTTTAAGCCCTAAACAGTGTCAGAAAGTATCTTTTCCATTGAGGGGGAGGACCAAACTGCTCATTAAATAAATAAATAATTATTTAAATAAATAATTGTTAATGAAACACAAAATTCTTTAAATTAATTATTAAATCAACAAAATTAATAAATGCCTGTTTTTTTTTTTTAGCATTCATTTGTATTAACTTGTCATTTATCATGTTTAAATTGATGTTTTATTCAAGCAGCTTGTGTCATTTCACTTTCATTGTTACAGATGTCGGGATGTCACTTTGTTTTTTAAAGACAAATTCTTGGACTTTCTATTTAGGGTTCTTTCTTTCTTTCTTTCTTTCTTTCTTTCTTTCTTTAGTCTTAGTCTATTTAAACAGACCGTAAAATACTCATAAATGCATTTACACAGCATTTACAATTGAAAAAGTAATGCAATGTAATGTTATAATATTAATGATTTAAAAATATCATTTTGAATATATTTATATTTAAATGATATTTAATCCAGAGGATTCGTTCAAAATTGCTGTTGGAAACTTCATTCAGGAGCGAAGCAAGTGATTCGCTTTATGAATGGTGCATTGAATCATTCGTTCAACTGATTTGTTCAAATCGACAATTCACTCAGTAATTAAACTCAGCGTTAAGACTTGGAATCATTCATTGCATTAGCTGGCTTTGAGTGCTCTGACCAGCTAGTTAACACCTTAACAAAAACAGCTTGAACTGGTCGTGGTCGTCAATGACATCCATGTTTATATAGTAAAACAAAATCATCTCGGATGAACACACGCACACACGCAAAAAACACTTTCAGTGTGAATGGCCCTGTATGACACAACACTAGCTTCAGATTTTTATTATTAAATCTTTGGCAATGTTCCCAGCTCAATATATTATGGAAGCTTATTTCTTCCACCGAATAAAAAAAAGAAAAACATAATAGCGAATTCTTATTTCACAATTATGACATTTTTCTCATAATTCTGAGTTCGTATCCCACAATTCGAACTAATAAAACAATGTCGCAATTATGTACTTGCTTAATGAAAATCAAGCGTTTAGGAACATTTTGAACATATTAAATAAAATGCAAACATGATACTCTTGTACTGCCACACAGATCACATTTAGCAGAAATAATGCTGATTTAATTAATGATAAAGACAAAAACAATTCAACACTATTTTCTGTGAAATTACTGTTATTCAGATCAGTTTTTATTCTATATTCAGTCTAAATGAGTCTTTATTCAGAAAAGTGTTAAAGCGGCTGAATCTTTTTTCTTCAATGACCGCAGCAATCTGCTCCTTCAGTTTCTCTCTGTTGTTTGAGATGTTTTTTCCAGCGACCTCCATAAGATCAGCGATCATCTCAGCGCTGTAAGGATCTTGAAAGGTGCGATATTTCTTCCTTAAGTCCTCAACTTTATCTGAAGAAACAGTAACACACTTAAATCAGATCGATTTATTTCAATGATATTTCAGGTTTATTCAGGACAGCTGTACGCTCTAAAAAATGCTGGGTTAAATACAACCCAGTGCTGGGTAAAATATGGACAAACCCAGCAATTGGGTTGTTTTGACCCAGCGGTTGGGTTAAATGTTTAACCCAACCTTCTGGGTAGTAACCCAACCGCTGGGTCAAAATAACCCAATTGCTGGATTTGTCCATATTTTACCCAGCACTGGGTTGTATTTAACCCAGCATGTTTTAGAGTGTAAGATCTGAACTTGCCTCCACAGTTGACCACATTAAACAGAGGAATGTGAATCACGGTTGGAGAGTTTTGGCCTTTGAACACATAGAAGTCCTTCGGTTTCATCTTGTCTCCACTGGTAACTTCAGGGAAAGGGATGTTTAGTGTCTTGCAAGTCTCAGCAGCATTTCTCACTGTCTGCAATAGAAATGCATGATAGAAATGCTTCATTAAAAGCTTTTGAACAGAATGATCAGTGTAAATTGCTCTTATTTTGTTTAAAGATATAAAGTACTACTCTTCCAAAAGCTAGATGAGATATTTACTTTTCCCAGAAGACAAAATAAGATAAATTTACACTGATTATCCTGTTCAAAAGTTTTTACACCCCAATTATAATTCTTTTTTTTTTGGCATCATGTTTGTAATAGTTGCATCTGAGTTCCTCAGTCATCCTCATTGTGAACAGATGGATCTCAAACAATCACACTCTGTGTTAAAAAGGGTTCAAAATGTGCAGAAGATGCTGGAAAAGAAAATAAAGTTGTTGTTTTTTCTGAAGAACAGTGGTCAGTTTTACTGCTCAGGATGACAGCGTTAAGAAACAAGCGTTTATAAACTTTTGCACTGGTTTATTTGTGTAAATTCAGTTATTAACATTGTCTATATGTGTCCATATATGGACTATACTGTATGTAAACATCTGTTATGTGAACTAGCTTATTGAGGGCAGTACTAAATAAAAACAACATAGAAGTTTTACGATCCCTAGGCGCTCTAACGGTTCAGAAATAAACCTGCATGCGTCTTGCTGAAGAACAGTGTTTTGGTTGCACGGATGAATTGCACGAATGTTGTTTTGACTAATTGTTGTTTTAAAATTAATAACGTTACATAAGTTTGTAACATCGCTAGTCTGATCAGATCAAACGTTGTCAATTCTCTGTTAGAGTGCTATGCTAAAATATCATTGAGTAAGAAAAAGCCATTATTGGGTCGCTTTTAAAGCATTTTAAATTTATAGAGTTTTAGCTATTTGAAAAGCTGAGCCAATGTTGATGATAGTTATGTTTTGCTTGTATGCTTTGGGCGTTTCTATTTGGTTTGCCATTCTGCGTGGTCTATGGTTGATATTTCTCACTTGTTGTGACAACCCTTACAAAAATTTAACCATGGTTTTATTATAGTAAAATTGTAGTAACCATGGTTTTTTGGCTCAGTGATTACCATTTGTATAGCCACAGTTTTACTACAAATACCATGGTTAAACGATGGTTAATGTGTATCTGTATTGTTAAAAGCGCTATATAAATAAAGGTTAATGTAGCAAGACCATGGTTAATTTGTGGTTACAATGGTTTAACTAGGCTATAGTATCCATAGTTTTTTGGTTTTATTTGTAGTGAATTTTTGTAAGGGAATTAACCTACAGCTACGCTAACCCTGCACCAAACATGTGCCAAAGTAGCCAGGGCTAACTTTTTTAGGATTATGGATTAGGATATGATTAGTATTTGGCGCATTCCAAGAACTGCTTCATGAAGCTTCGAAACCTTTGTTTTGAACCAGTGCGTCCTTTGCTGGTTTAAGCAAAGGACCAGCTTAAACCAGCATCCCAGCGTCAAAACATACCTAACCATCATATGCTAATTTTTCAACAGGGGTATCAAACTGCCAAAGTTACGTGATTTAAAAAAATCTAAATTAAATTAAAAATGTCAATGGTTCGTGGCCAGGGATGATTTCTGTGAACGGCAAACCAAATCATTGAACAAGATTTTAATGAGACATTTGCATAATTAAATGTAATAATAGTAGCTAATGGTATCTTATCGGCCTACATTGATTTGATTAATTCACAGAACAAACAAAACAAACCCTGAAAACTGATCAAAGAACCCAAATTATACAGACACTTAATATTTAACGGTATTAGATGATTTGTTAATTGCATTTAATACATTTCATAGAAATGTTTGCAATGGGTTTGTAAAAGTTGTATTTATGCATGTTTGGACTGAATTTTAGTTGCATTTACACCATTCCGACCAGCTGGTGTCACCAACATGTGGTGTTTCGAGCGCTTCGAAACAGTTATTTTGCGAAGCAAATAGTTCAATTAATTAAAAGCTTTGAAAAGCTGTTTCTCCTATCATGACATGCATGGGTGAATGGCATATGTAAAAAATTACCCACAAATTCCGTCCCGACAGGCCTAATATATAAACAGTTATTACAGGCTTAAGACAGACATGCATTTTGAAGATGGATTTATAGTTATTTAAATTGTTACTGTACACTCTAAAAAATGCTGGGTTAAATAGGGACAAACCCAGCAATTGGGCTGTTTAAACAGCATTTTCATTCAGTATATTTTACCCAGCACTATTTAACCCAGCATTTTTTAGAGTGTAGCTATAAAATTTAAATTTTGCACATCCTGTGAGGGGTTTGTAAAGAATTCTATGTGTATAATAGCCAGGCCTACCATGAAAGGATCTCCTTGACTGAAATCCAGGGAAATGATGAGGTCGATGTCTCGCTCTTCTCTCAGCACTGAGAAGAAGGGTGAGTTCTGCAGCAGTCCTGCGTCTATATAGTCTCTCGTCTCACTTTGCAGAATAGTGGAGTGCACTGCTTCATCTAATCGATCACAGTGTGAAATGAGTCCCTTTTAGTATCCTCATTGAATTGTGGGTTTTTAGCAGGTCTGTTCTCACCTGTCATGTTGTGGAGGAAGTTATATTTCCTTCCCCAGATCCACTGAGCCATGCATTTACAAATACTAATCCCAGCATCTGTAAAACAGTTATACATTTTCTAATTCATTTCTTTAAACGATTCTCAGGATATCAAGAACCATTTTGGCTGTGGACTTGATTGTTTCATTACCGCTTATTGTGCGTATGGAATGCAAACAATTAAATGCTGCTAAATATATAAACCTGGCTACTGTTTATTGGTATTAATTCATTAATTCATTAATCATTGTGTAATCCAGATGGATGGAAATTTTACATGCAATTCAAATAGCCTACATAAATCTTAAATTTAGGCCTATTTTTTGGGAAATTAAAGTTAATTCAACTTACCAATGAGCCAAATTTTGGTCCGACTATTCAAATCTTCGCACACATCTATGGTGAAACGTTTTATATACCGTTTTTCTGCTCTTTTATCAGCAGTTTCCAGTGTTTTCATTGGATCAATCAGCTGACTTTTGCCTCCAGAGAGGTCTGTAAGAAAACAGGACATGACATGATTGAATTATTATTACATATTATTGTAAATGCTACCTTATCCATATATTTTATATGGATATAAAATAGTTATATAAACTATTTTTAGTTTATATACCTAAAACACCTTCATGGGGGAATAGATAGCTCCCAATGTGTTTTGAGAATGGTGTTTTAATGTCGTTTGAACAGTTAAAGAATAAATATAACTTGAGTAATAAAGAATTCTTTAGTTATTTGCAATTACGAGATTGTTTAAGGGTCAAATCAAAAACGTACAGCTATTGTGCAACTCTACTACTCTGATAAACCATTAAATAAAACAATTTCTAGAATATATGATGCTCTGATATCAAGCCAGCCTTTAGCTGACCCAGATAAATCCAAAACTACGTAGATGGGAGCAGGATTTGAAGATAACATTACAGTTATGTAAAGCTTTATTACATTCCATCCGGATTACATCAATTTAACAACCCCTCTGCTTTAGATGTGGTACAGAAGAAGCTACTTTTTTGCATTCTACCTGGTTGTGTCCTAAAGTGAAAGTGTTTTGGGTAAAAGTATGTGACATTATATCACAGATCCATTAAATTGATTTTCCATTGGATGCAGAGGTAAGTTTATTAGATCATTATAAAGCGGAGAGTTCCGGTGCTTGATTCTGATTGGCTGAACCGTGTTCGAAGCTGTTATAAATTACGCTACAAAGTAACATACACCTTTGTTTACGTTTGTGTGTTGCTCGGCAAGCACTTTATTGGAACCACAACTGTTTCTGAGGAGCTACATTGTTTTGTGGAAGAATACTGTTTTTATTAATATCATTATTATACTCTGTGACAAAGCTTTTTACCTTGCAGGTACAGCATGTCAAATTCATCCTGATGTTTTTTCTTTGAGCCTTTGTGAAACTGGCTGCCAAAGTCGCAGGTGTCCACAAACGCTCCAGTGAGGGAATAACCTGCTTCATATGGATTGATCTCAAACCAGGGGTCTGCAGACAGAAAACATGTCCATGTAACAATTGACACGAGCACATTAACGTTTCATCCCTTTTCATGCATCACACGCAGACCTCTGCTCTGCTCATTGCTCTGTTTGCATTGCTTGTCGATCACTGTGTAGATGGGAAACGGGTCTTTCTTGTGCTGGTTCCGCTGCTCTGTGAGTGCGTGCTCATCGATCTACAGAAAACACACATCATGTTATTGTATTATAGGGATGAAGCTTCATAGGACATTTTTACAGTGAGAAACTCGAGAGTCGAGATTCACTACCATTTCATTCTCAGGTGTAGCTTACTTAAAAGAAATATGACTGCTGGCTTAGAGAGAAATGTTCCATTTAAAACTTGAAGTACGCCCTTTTTGGAGATGTCCATCAGTTTTATTGCT